CTCTCTAAAAAAAACAAAAAAACCCGCGCAAAAAGCACGATTCTCAAGTTGGGCCCTCAGGCTCCGACTGGTCACGTAGAGCATAAAAGACAACCTGGCGGCTAGACTAATTAGGAAGCTTTCGGAGTCGCCGGTGGATTTCGGGCCTTTGATGCGTCGGTACCGCACCGTTGCTGGCCCCGCGCCGCTCGTTCTGACTTCCGCGATGGACAACCTCATGAGCTTCTCCGAGGGCGCCGACCCATCCAAGCAGCGAAAGTCGAAGTCTAACCGCTGGAGCGGCGCCAGCAACAGCGACGGGTCGAGCGACAAGGCGGCGCCAGCCGCCGCTGGCGCGTCCGCAATCAGCGATATAGCGGCCGGGCTCAAGAGGTTTGAGCTGGAGCAGTCACGGCTGAAGAAGGCTGCCCCGCTGCCGGCTGCAAAGAAGGCGGCGGCGCCGGCCGCGCCGGCGCCGGCCGCGGCGGCGCCGGCGCCTGCCAACGCCAAAGCGGGCTCCCCAGACGACGCTGACTGGGTCTGCACCGGCTGCGCGGCACGAGGAGAGGACGGCACAGTGCCCAAGGGCTTCAAGTTCTGCCCCATATGCGGTGACTCCTTCCACGGCACGCCCAACCCAAAGGCCAAGCCGCCGGCCGTCGCGGAGGAGTGGCAGTGCGAAGGCTGCGGCGAGGTGAGCGCGAAGCGCCTCCCCGCCCGCCCACCCCTTGCGACGCCCCTCCGCCTCGCGCGCGCCGCGCCAGGTGTCCATCGCGGGCTGGTACTACTGCTTCGAGTGCGGACGGCCGCACGGCGCGCCAAAGCCACCGCCGCCTGGCGAGTGCGGCGGCTGCGGCGAGTATGTGAGCGCACCCGCCGCTGCGGGCCGAGCCCCGATTGCCGAAGACGCGCCCCGCCGGCCTCGCTCGCCCGGCTTCCCTCGCGGTTGCGCCTCTGACTCGCCCGCGCTGCCCCTCTGCCACAGGTACCGGAGGGAGACCTGTGGAAGTTTTGCTGGAACTGCGGCACGGCGACCGGGGAGTGGGATAGCGGCGCCAAGGGGCGCGCCGCGCGGTTCGAGACTAACGAGGAGCTGGGGGACTGGACTTGCCACGGCTGCCGCGAGGAGGCGGCCGCACTCCCCGCTCCTCTGGCCGCCTGTCGCGGGGACAGGAGCCCTCTCCGCGCTGCTCATCCCACATCCCACCCCGCCTCGCGCCCTCGGCGGCAGGTTGCGGGGACGAGATACTGCCCGTGCTGCGGTGCGCAAAAGCCGGGCTGATGGGGACAGCGGGCCTGGTCGGCGCAAGTTTTGCCGCCTCGCGCCTCCTTCTTCCTCACCCTCATTACGCATGTGCATCCCGAGCGGCGGCGCGCCGGCTGTGCCGTGTGTCCCTCTCCCTGTGCGTCCCGGTGCGCTGAGGCTCGCCGCCTGCTCTAGCCGGAGAGGCAGCAACAGACCATAAGATACTACATGATCGGCTTTTTTGTGCGCCGCGAGACTCCCTCTTGCGCCGCCGCGCCGCCCCGCCGCCGCCCGGCGCAGCCCCAGCTGTGCCAGCATACATGGAAATCTCTGCGCAACATCGGAAGATCCTTGGACTGTAGATCGTAGATGCCTTTGAGATCTCTTAAGTGGCAAATCTCCTGCCAAGAGCTGCAGTAGATTGAAGAACTGGTGGAGGCAAATCTTCTCCGGTGTAGATGCTCGAGAGAGGAGTCTGAGATGTCGAGTTGGTGCGTGCAGTCGCTTGAGATCTTGCGACAGAGGTGGAGATTCTGACTTCGCGCCAAAGGCGCCTAGAGATCGTGTGGGCCGACTGGAGATTGCAAAATGGCGCGAAAAGAGGGTGGAGATCCTTTTGCATTGTGAATGAGTCCATAGCGCATCTCCTTGAAGGTTTGAGCCCCCCTCCTCCCCCGGGCCCCCGAATCGACAGTGGAGATTGGAGATTGGAGATGGAGATCGGAGATCTGACTGAATCCGGCCTAAGATGACGACGTTGGAGATTGGAGATTGAAGATGGAGATCGGAGATCTGACGGGATCCGGCCTAAGATATAGCGACGCTGGAGATTGGAGAGTACTGGAGAGATGGAGATCGGAGCCCCCCAGCCCCTAGTGGTGTCTCATCGATTTTTTGTTTTGTTTTTAGATAAAGGTCTGTGCGCGGACGGCCCGGGGAGCCTGCGGCGCCATTTTAATCTGCGCTCCTCTTTATGGCCTGCGGCGCCTGGCTTGAGCTTGGAAGTGTAAAACGAGTCCGCCAGGGCGGTCT